AAATTATTTTTTCATGTCTTACACTGACCGATGTCTCCCATTCACCCACTTTTCTGTTGTCCAGAGGGGCTTATATGTAGATCATTGTGATCGGTTCCCCCTTTCTCCATCTTCCCCTTCCCCTCCAATATTGGTCCTGAGGCATTTATCTGTCCTGGGTTCCCTGTTTCCAGCTCTTATCGGTACATGCTCTGGTTTAGCCAAATTTATAAGGTGGAATTGGGGTCATGATAGTGGGGGGTGGGGAGGAAGCATTAAAGAACTTGAGGAAAGTTGTGTGTTTCACCGGTGCTATACCGCACCAACTAGCTCGTCTCTTCCTTGTGACGCTTTTGTAAGGAGATGTCCAATTGTCTACAGATGGGCTTTGGGTCTCTACTCCGTGCTCTCTCTCATTCACAACGGTATGCTTTTTACCTAAAATCCTTGACCGTACGTTGTTCAACCAGCTAAGAAAAGAAGTCCTCTAACTAGAAAGAGGGCTGAAACGCAGAGTGGAGTATGATCGTGCCTATTTTTAAAAAATATGGTTGAATAAATATTCTAAAGATTTAAAAAATTTTGGTATTAGTCTGCTTCTTTAAAATTTTATTTTTTTGCCTTCTTCACCCAAGTTAATATTCTCTCCCCCCCACCCTGGTAACCATCAAAGAATATTTTTGTTAGTGTGAAACCCCCCTTCTCCCCACCCAGTTTCTATAATAGTGGTTTCATACAGTATTTGTCCTTTTGATTTATTAATTTCATTCAGCATAATGACCTAATTTCATCCATTAAAAAAAACATTTTTATTGTGAACTAGTAGAGGTTTATGTATCAGATCATAATTTTTGCATCCAACTTCAACAGCTTATCAAATCTACCAGTGAGGTTTGCCCTGTCCCTAACCCCTCAGCTTTTCATTTCTGCCCATGTCCCGCTTGTACAATATTATCTTCTCTTTCACCACGTTAACATCTGTCTACCCTCTAGCTCTTTTCCCTTCTCACCCACTCCTAGTAAGCATCAACATGTTTCTTTTGGTATGAAACTTTGATTTTTTAAAATCACAGTGGTCTCATACAATGTTTGTTCTTTGATAATGTCCTCCAGATTCACTGTTTTTTATAGGACTGAAGTTTAGAATTGATGTGAAACTTTAGATCCAGAACCCAAACCAACCAAACTCACTGCCATGGATACGCACTCCCAGCGATGCCCAACAGGGCGGAGGTGAAGAGAACCTTTGGGTTTCTGAGGCTGTACAATACTTTAAAAAAAAAATCATTTAAAAGAAAAAAATCATTTTATATTTGGGGGCTCTTACAGCTCTTATAACATTCCATACTTCAATTGTATTAAGCATATTTGTACATATGTTGCAAGGCTCTAAATCTTTATGGGAGCAGAAAGCCTCATCTTTCTCCTTCAGAGCAGCTGATGGGTTTGAACTGCTGACTTTGGAGTTAGTTGTCCAAGGCTTAACTGACAGCACCACCAGGGCTTTTTTTAAAAAAATCATTTTATCGGGGGCTTGTACAACTCTCATCACAATCCATACATCCATTCATTGTGTCAAGCACATTTGTTGCCATCATAATTCTCAAAACATTTGCTTTCTACTTGACCCTTTGTTATCAGCTCATTTTACCCCTCCCTCCCCGCCCCCCTCCCTCATGAACCCTTGAAAATTTATAAATTATTATTTTGTCATGTCTTACACTGTCCGATGTGCACCAGGGCTTCTTAAGAACCAGACCCAAACAAACTCACTGTCATCGAGCTAATTTTTAAGAACAAGAAGGGACCTAAAAAAAGGAAATCTACCTTCTAAAATGTTTAAAAGAGCTATTTGTTTAGGGTCTTAAAGACTTGAAGGTAAACAAATGAAAAAAAAAGGACATGACAAAATAATAATTTATAAATTATCAAGGGTTCATGGGGGGGTTGGAAAAATGAGGAGCTGATACCAAGGGCTCAAGCAGAAAGCAAATGTTTTGAGAATGATGATGGCAACAGATGTACAAATGTGCTTGACACAATGGATGGATGTATGGATTGTGATGAGAGTTGTATGAGCCCACAATAAAATGATTTAAAATTTTTTTTAGCAAAGAGCTTGACACAGAGTGGTTTTGATGACTATTGCTGCCTTATTTGAAGGCTTGAATGTTTCCAAACAAGTTTCTTGACCTGACCTACCAAGGGTTTTGGTCTTACTCTTGGTGAGACTCGAGTAGATGTCTTGAAACTGACTTGAAGTCTGGCCTTTGTGTGGTTCTGAGCCCCTCTGGAGACTAGGGGTTGAGGGTACCACCCTAATACCACCCTAAAGATGCGGACAACTGTTCGCGCTTGTTCACTGATGACTTAACTGTCATCTCTGTGGACAAGTATGACATAAAAGACTGATAGCCATCTCCATTTGCAGATCTGTGTGGTATAATTGACCAGAGATCCTATCTCGGAAAGCAGAAGAAAAGCTAGGGCATAAATTAAGAAGAATAAACACAAAACTGATTCCTATGAGGCAGAGGGTAAATATGTCTCAAATGTCCAACTTTTCCAAATTGCTGTACCACTCCATTATTTCTAAACGCAATTTCTCCCCCTCCCCTCAGTACCCTCTGTCTTTGGGTTAATTCATTGCAACATTTCACAGAACCCAAGAGCCATATTCTTAGGTGTGGCTTTATTAGGGAAGAAACGAAGCAATTTGGGATTGGGATCAACTTGGTAGTAACTCACGATGCAGTTAATCGATCAGGACCAAATTCTCGCCTTTTGCTGGGGGCCTTCTGGGACAAATGTTCTTTAGTTCCATGGGTTGGCAAGCCCCACTGAAACCTTGTGCCAGGCGCTGGTGTCTCACGACATCACTATTGCTACTGTTCACTGCCATCTCGCATTGTCTTCTGGGTTACGAGCCCCCTCCCCATGGCTCTCTTTTAAGCCTAGTGTGATGGCAAAAATTGACCAATCCCTATGTTAGAGTGCCATGCACTTCACCTGCATGTTCTCACCTGCATGAGGATACCATGCACCTATTTACCATTCCCTGGGTTGGCCACAAGCATAGCTCCATCCAGTTATTGGGGGTGCAGCGCATTATAAAGACTATGGCTAGAAGAACCACATGAAATAGCTCACTGCACTAAGGTGAAAAGAGAAAATTCTCATTGCCAGAATCTTAAGGCAGGAATACATATTTAATATTTTCACCCTTAGTAAGGGGGAATTTATGGCACAATAATTAAGCACTTAGCTGCTAATCAGAAGGTTGGCAGTTCAAACTTACCTAGAGACTCTGCGGGGGAAAGATCTGGCAATTTGCTTTTGTAATTTCAGTCAACATTTTAAATGCTATGGGGCCGGTTCTACTCTGTGACATAGTATTGCTCTGAGTTGAAGTTAACTGAATGCACTCAGCAATTAACTTAAATCTTGAAGCGTCTTTCTGATTTTGAGGCTGAGATTATCCAGTCAGCAAGATTATATTTTTCAAGTTAGCAACAAGTTTTTGAATGAGGTCTTTCATCATGTGAGAAATGACTTCAAGATAATGAGACCCATGTCCCTGTGTAATTTAAGGACACTACTTCATACCTTTCTAATAGTTTGGAACACAAAGCTGAGCAGGAGGTTGTTCTGCAAATGGTCCCCAAATACAGTTATCTTCCTGTAAAGAGTACAGCTTAACCTGGTTCCAGCTTTTCAGCCCATTTACAACCTGGCATTCAATTATAATAAATGAAATCGAGGATATTGGGCAGTAGGGAAGAGGTGGGGAGGAGTGGGTAAGAAAACTGACAACTTGAGGTGTCCAGATCTCCAGGCTGGACACAAATTCATCTTAACAAGATGAGAAACGATGTACGCACTTAATTTTATCAAGATGATCAGTGTATTCAGGGAGTATCAGTGACTAGACAGAACTGTTTGGGGCTTGAGCCTCTCCCCCACCCCCAGACTCATTTCAAGGACAATTGCCCTGAAGGTGCCTTCTCACCTCTTCAAATCATGCAACTTGGTTTAATCCATGAAATAAATCAATTAAATTCACAGAAGCCTCATTTAATAGTATCAAATGGAGTGTTTTATATATATATATATGGCTCCCTGAACAGGAGTGATGGACTCAGGCTGGGCCTTCCTTTATTAACTCAAAGATTGTTTTAAAATCAATGTGCAACAGCTGTTCTCCATAAAACTTGGAAATTGAATTATGGTTGTGAAAACTTGATAGAGTTTTTACCCTTATCTATTTTTCCTCCTTCTTAAGGGTCAGCATACATCCTTAGGCTGGTGAGATCTGGGAGAGAAAAACCCAGCACTGTGATTCCCCTGGTTTGCTCTCAGAATTTCAAAGTGTCTTCTACATCAAGACAAAGGTTCACCTGCCAGTGCAAATACAGATAAAAATCTGCTTTGGTTGGCTATACCAGGGTTATGTTTGTAGTGTCATTTCTCCAACATTTTGTTTAATAATTTACCAGAACCAAACAGTCATCCATTAACAAATGAGAGAGAGAATGAATCTGAGTCTGAGAAAAAACACTTCACCTTTTATCTTCTCAACTGATTTACCCACTGACCTTGGGCAAATATTTCTTAAATACAATGAAGATGTTGCTCATGCCCTTAAACATCTCCCATTATCCTGCACAACCTCCATAACAATCATATATGCACATGACCCCAAACAGAATTAATATTATGATTATTTGTGATACCTTCTGAACCTTATGGTTTTTTTTCTGGTAATTTTTACGATGGTTCTGAGATCGTTTTCTTATTATCCTGATGAAAGTTGTGATTTCTGGGCAGAATCCAAGGCCCCAGAGTGCTCTTTGGCGACTGCTATGTGCCATGACATTCAATTCCTCCTCCTATTCTTCTGCCCACCCCCAACCATCTACTTGTTTTGTTTAGTGAATATGAATATCAAATATAGAATGAACACACATTGAGTTTCCAAAACCAAAATGTCAAATGAAAAAGTACCACAACTGACAGTAGTGAACAGTTTTCATAATTTAATGAAAAAGTATTGGTAAAAAGGTGACATTTAATAAAAGACTTGAGTTTATCCTGGAAAACTGGACTATATAAAGGAAAATGGAAAATAAAGAAGGTTAAGAGGTAATACTTCAAACAACAGCAAAATGTAGCAAATACATTTTGGAACAATTGAAATTTATACAACTGAAGGCTCCTTAATTTATCTAGGAAAATTCTGTAAAAATATCACAACTCTATTTCCCTGACTGGAATTATTTTAGCAAATACTCTCCCAATGGCATTATATATGCAATTTGGCCGAAACACTGTTTCAATGCTTGTTTTCCTGCCTACTCAGAATGGAAAGGCATCAAAGGGCAAAGGCTACTGCATTGGTCTCTAACAATATAACTCCACTATAATTTTAATACCATGCAGGTGGAAAATTATTATTGACCCAAGCAGATTTCAAAGAAAAAGTACAGAAACCTAGTGCAGAAATAGGGGAAGCTTTCTCCCTCATTGTGGAGGACCCAGAGCATTTTCTATCCAAACAAACTACAGGAAATTAATCACACAGGCTATAGCATCTTCACACAGGCACAAAAGGAGCATTGGGAAGATGTAGCCAAAGGAGAGGAGAAATATATAGGTTCCCAAGAAAAGGAGCAAACAAAAGGCAAAAAAGGAAACCATTAATAAGGCTACAAGAGCAAAGACAGGGAATGGAAAACTGCTGAGTTTTCCATGTTGATTCAGAGAGGAGCCCCTACCCTTGCAAACAAATGCCCGACTGCAGTTGGGCTGTTTCACTAGTAACACACTTAGGAAAGTGTAAAACAGGCCACTTTGGCTGAAAAGTCTCTACACTTTCTTAAAATAGAAGAGAACATTAATTTATAGTAAGGCTAACAAGAAAAGAGCTGAGAATTACAGTTTGTGTCACATTTTAAAAAAATTGCAACTTTCCCCCTTCTTTGAATGGGAAACAGATAGGGTTCTATTTCCCTAAAATGCACTTATTCTCTTCCTCCCAGAAATGAGCCAAAGTTGACAGTTAGGGAGCTGTGCGTAAGCAGCTCCTAAATGCACAAAAGCAGTCTCAGCTTTTTGGTTGGGAAGCTGTCTCTGAGTCAAAGTTGACATAAAGCAACAATGATAGGTTTTCTCAGATTATTGTTGCTTTGTAACCAAGCGAGTAAGAATACCTCTGTGCATTTCAGTGTCCAGTATTATCTGAATCATACCTCAGTGGAAGTCATACAGATATGAAGAGAGGTATACAAAACTGGTTCTAGTCAAGTTTATCTGAAGACAATATAAAAACTCTGACGTGGTACAGAGCCCAGAGATGGTCTCACTTTGGAAAAGGCTCTGGGAGCCTTGACAAGTGCCGAGAGACGATCAGAGCATCTGCCTTGGAAGTAGGACTTCTACTTTTGTAAACACCATCCACAAGTTAAACTTTTATGCTTATTGGCTGGGCGAAACAGTTATGAAGTGCGGCCCCCAACACGCAAGTCCAGGAACAGGCACTGGACGTTTATATGAGCATTAATATTGACTCAGTAAGTGAAGACATTGTAAAAGGAACCCCACCTGGTGCAATGCAAAGGAAAGGGGTAGTGAGTGGAATAGTACATGAGATAGCTGCTTTCCTGCTCTCTCCCTGAAGGTTTACAGATTCCAGTGGAATAAGAAACATCCTACAGATAGGAGCTCTAGAGTCACAGGCTGTGTCTTCGAAAGATAAGTAATTTTTAGTGTCTGAAAATCATGGTCTCTTGCAATTCCCATTAATAATGCAAGGGTACTTAATGCGCATGCTCACCAATATGTTATTGTAACTGGAAAATAGCCCCAGTATCTAGTGAGGAAAATACCCTGGGCTCATTTGTTCCCAATAGACTCTGACCCAATATAAAAATGCAAACGAGAGTCGATTAAAAACAAACAAAACACAAACAAACAAATTAGATAATCTGCAATTCTTATAATGTGCTTGTGAAACCAGACTTTGGAAACTGCAAGTGGATGCACTATGGAAAAATTGCTCTTAACATATATGCTAGAATCGTTTTGTTGTTATGAGTTTCCTCCAAAGGCAAAGGTTGGATTATCCTTGAAAGTTTCTAATCACCTTTGCACTGAGCTATGGGAAAACGAATGAGTCTTGTTTTTACCATGGCAATACCGTTTGGAGTCACGGGGAGGATTTTCCCTGTCTGAGTTGTCTCTCCTAAGCTTGACTTTCTCTCTAGTCCCGTCACTTTCTGCTTCTGAATCACTCAGTTCTAAATCTGGGCAATACCCATCGTTTTCCTGATAGGAAGCTTTCCCTGACGACCGCCGAAGGAGCTGCTTACCCCACAGCTGCTCTTTGGGGTTAATCTTGGTTGGCTTCACATAGCTCTGGAGGTCCTCTGTGCTCCTCACCCACCGGCTAGTAGCCTCCTTAAAGGATGTGCTCAAATGCTCCACTGTAGGTTTTCTATAGCTTCCCTGACTGGGCAAATGAGAACTAAGCATGGGCTCCTGGCCACAGACCATTTCACTTAAGCTGTCCTTTGGGGTGACTTCTCCAGATAAACTGCCCTCCAGGCCATTGGATTTGGCAAGCCTGGCGCTGGGTGGAATTTTCTTGTTCTCAATAGAAGACTGTCCATGCAGGGCAGTCGGAAGGACCAGAGGCTTACCCAGTGACTGTCCATGACAGCAGTCTGGAGATGGAGTTTTCCAGGCAGGGCTAGAATCCTTTACTTCACTCTGAGGGTGGCTCAGGCTAGCCAGCATACAGGTGTTCTTGTTCTTGAATGGGTATCTTGAAGAGGACTTCATTCTCATTTCTGGGCCCTTCTGTGGTGTTGGCTTGTTCTTCATACTGACAGCAGGGGAGCTGCTACCAGGAGAGGGGCGTCTGTGCTCAGGCTCTGTGGAGCCGTTTTTGCAGTTGTCTAGGGATGGTTTGGGCATTTTTAACTTTAAGGTGATTCTTGGTGGTGGGGAGAATATTGAGTTTTCTGGTGCACTTGTTACAGAAGGTCCTGAGAGCAAAAAGAAAGAATCATTTGAACAACTGGTGCATAATGGTTTACATAATGGTGCATATCCTTATGGCAGAGTGGGTCCATATATACATTTCCCCCAATTGTTTACCAGGCACATATATTTGGTATGTATGTACATCGTGAGGTTGATGCTGGAGTGTGTGTATGTGTTGGGGGGGGAGGGGCTATAGCTACAAAACTCAGCAATGCCACTCTTTTCTAACTTCCAATCTCTTTAGCCCTGCTCTCCCAATCTGTAGAACTATCACAAAGACACTGTATTGTTTTCTGCAACCCCGCATCTGCCCCTTTCATTTCTCAATAGTACTACTAGCGATGGTTTAGAACAGGGTCTCACACATATCTGTGTGTGTGAAAGTGTGGGTACTACAGAGAATTTAGGATGTACCTTAAACAGACAATTAGAATCTTTCCTAAAACAAATCAAATATAAACCATTAGAAACATAGTAGCTCTGGGTGGGTGAAGTACATGGGAATAAGTGTTTTAAACTGGCATTAATAGGAGTGGTTGTAGGTGGTATCTTTGAATAGTTTCCCAATTATGAATGACCATTCTGGAGGGTTGGGGAGGTTTTGGAGTAGTAAGGCCAGCAGAAAGGAACCATGACCTTCCTGTCCACACCTGCTATGGGCTTGGCTTATAGGCTTAGCTCGGAAGTACTTGGCTGGGTTCATGGGTGTGGGCATTTCAACATGAACCATGTTAAGTTACTTGGTTTTGTCACCCACAACCATAATTACAAGAGTATTTATTATTTTGCGTGCTTTGAAATTGAAAATCCACTACCAAACAACTCTTCCTTGAAGACAGGCTTGGTGTTTGCCATTAGCCACCAAAAACGGGATACAAAGAGAACAGCATCCAGGTATCCCAGTGGGTAGCATTTATTCCCTAAGGGTTCATGTTGCAATGCCCACACCCATGAGCCCAGCCAGGGGCTGCCACATGCTGATGACACAAGCCATACTGAGGCAGGCTTCTACCTATCAGAAGTCACATGGGCTAGCAGACAATTTTCTTGCTGTCCTTTGGCTTTTCCTGCCTTACCTGTCATATTGCCTTAGTAACTGAGCAGCCCTGCTGTCGACCTGACCTCATTTTGGGGTTCCTCCCTTGCTCTATGGTTGACTGCCAGTATGAGCCAGATTCTGTACACCCTACCCACCAACCCCTACAGTGCTGGCTTTGGCACCAACCTCTGTTAAATGATCCCAGGGAGACTACCAATGTCACTGAATCGGATTATCAAATTTCCAACCAAACTGGTCATATGTAGGACACTATAATTCTGCCCATCTGTCTTTCTCACCAAGTGGGCAGTGTACCCTGCAAGTAGAGGCTCTGTCTTGTTGACTGCTCTATCTTCTAGCTCAATTCTTGGCCATAGTAGGTGATCAATGAGTAGTAATGAGTGTATCAATGAAAAGACAAGAATCTAGATGTCAAAATTTCTGGTTAAGGATTTGTTTGAATAGAATATTAAGATGAGTAACCCTGGAAGGAAATGTTTCCTGGAACCTAATATTAGATGCTATCCTAATGATTTCAAAATGAAATCATTAGGCTGTAAAGAAAAGAGTAATTTTATGGTTCCAACTAATGGCTCCCAATATCTGTCTGGGACCTGGAATATCTGCTCTAGATCCATAGCCCTAACATAGCCCTAGATCCATAGCCCTAGGGTTGAACAACAGTTAATGAGATATTTGATGAGAATTTTTCAAAGATCTTTAAGTGAAACAATTGATATAAAACTTAAATAGTTAAAAAACATGATGTAAACAGTCTATCTATTTGTTAGAACAGCTATAACATGCAGGTTACCTGAGGCAAGTTCCTGGTTAACCAGCTGAATTTCTAAGTTGAAGATCTGTTCTTGCATTTTGACGTGTGACATTTTTAGCTTTTCTCGCCTGCTTATCATGTAGCACAGATTGCGGACCTGAAAGCCCAATCCCCAGCAAATAAAAAAAATGTCACTTTAAGCAAATCCAACAATTGAAAATGTACATCAAAAATAAATTCAACTGAAGTCTGCTGGGACTGGGGGATGAGGAAGCATACAGACCCGGGAGCTACATAATGAAACCCTCTCCACAGGAATTCACGCAGCTTTGTCAGTTATGAGATCCTGGTTTCCACATAAACTATCAGCACAAGCAAAATCCTCCAAAGTCATCTTTTGAAACTTGTTCTCTCTGCAGTGTTATAAGTTCAGTATTTATTTGCATAGCCAGGCTAGGACAGGAGAATAATGGCTTAATATTTCTGCCTTCCTTTCCGATCTCTTGGAGCCCTGGTGGCATTGTTGGGGAAGTTATTGGGCTGCTAATCCAAGGCTGGTGGTTCAAGCCTACTAGTTGTTCCGAGGGAGGAAGAGGGACCATCTGCTCCCATAAAGATGTACAGCCTCCGAAACCGAGGAGTTCAATTCAATTCTATGGCAATGTTTTTTTTTTTGCGGTGGTGAGGTTTGGATCCCTGAGTACAAATGATGGCAATTCTGGATCCAATACAATTGTCCAGGGAGCACCTGACCAGCAAGTGGAAAGATTGGAAGTAGATTTTTTGCTCACACTTTCAGTTTTTTAATATTAACTTTATTTTAATGAATACACAAAACTTTGTACCTCAAAACAGAGAATACATATTATAGTCAAAAGTCTTTGAAACATCTGCAATCCAAAAAGTAAATATTGGACATGTAACAATCTTTGTCCATAGTGTAATAAAACTGTATGTTACTTACACAGAAGAGTTAAAATAGTTATAAACAAATTTACCTAAATAAACTGGACCTTAAACTCTTATGCTCTTTTTGAATAAGTAAGATATAAAAACTGAAATTATACACTATGTAAAAATAAAGAATCTGTCCATACTATCAAGTATTATACAGCTATTAGAAAAGGTGAGGTAGAATTATGTATAGTTATCAGAAATTTCCAGGGTGATATTTTTTAGATCTTCAAAAAGCTTTTTTTGGTGAATGAGGTGAAGATTTACAGAACAGTTATCAGTCCTACTATTCAACAATTTAACATATATTTTGTCTCAACCTATACATTGCAATCTCCTCAATGTATTGTTATTTATTTCATCTCCTCCCTGTCACACTTTCAGCTCAACCGAATTTCCACAGTTACAGGAGTGAGATTTTCACTTAGTCTCCCCAGCTGGACACATTTCTTAACTTTTCTGTGCCCCATTACATTTATGTATAAACAGGGGTAGTAATAGAGGCTTTTTCATAGCCATGCTAGAATTAAGTGGGTTGATATTCTAAGACTAGTGTTGGCACATAAGCGATATACTTGAATAATCTTTGAACATCTATTTGGTAGATCCCTGATAAATATGAATGTTTTGTGTTTTGTACCCTCCTCATAAACCTTGAGTTAAAATGTGGCTCTCAACCAGGAGAAATTTGTCAATGTCTAGAGACACTCTTGATAACCCTAACTGGAGGGGGTTGCTAACAGCACTTAGAGTGCCTAATAGGACAGCCTCCTGACAAAGAAGAACTATGCAGTGCAAAATGCAAATAGCGCTTTTCTCAACAAATTCCCACCCCCCAGGTGTTCTATATTTTAATGTAAAATGACACACTAACTTATTCTGTTTCTAAAGTTTCCACGTTCAGTACAAAGTAAATTATTTTAAATCCCTTTTTACAAGGGAATCATATTCCAGATACTAACTCTCAATACCTCTTTTAGCTTTTTTAAGCCTATGTTGTAAAGTCTTAAAACTACTACTGCATAAATTAATCAGACCAGAACGATTTATTTATTTATTTAATAGTTTTATTATTATTTTTACACCTGGTCTGTGTCACAAAATGAGAATAAACAACCGTGTCTCAGAATAATATCATCAGCAAAATGTTTCTCTTCATCAGAGCCACATGTGTTAATGAAAGATAAAATTTACTAACTGGCTATCATTTACCTAACTTACCAGGTTTTTTATTTGTTTTAATGGTTACCTTTGCATTCTTATTTAAAAGAGAGCCTTCCTTGCCTCAGCCTCCATGCTATCCTAAAAGTGAGAGAATAAGCTTAGGTCTTTTAAAGATCCCCAATAAAATGGTTCTTTATTCAATATGCGGTCTTACAAGTATTTAAGTAAAATAGAGCTAAGCCAATTGAGATCAAACATTGAATAAAAAGTAAATCAAAGGAAAATTTAGATTTACAGCTCATAGCATATATAAGTGAGGACTTACCAGTCCCTTCCTTGAATGTGCCTGTCAAAATCTAAACAGCTCAATATATGGCAGAACAGTGAACCCAAAAGATTTACAAAGACACAGAAGTCCTTAAAACCAGTGTAAGCTAAAATTTACAGCTGCAAAACCATTCTTTACAAAATCCATTCTTAGAAGCTTTTATTTAACAAAAACATCAACATAGTAAAGCTATTACTTCTCCTTTTTTAAAGCTATTGCTTCTTGCAACATTCTCCACCTAGGTCTATATACTTCAAGGCGTTGATTCCATCTCTCTAGCCTTTCCTCCACAGAATTCTGCGCTCTTCAATTTACACCTTGTATTAATTGCAGTTTTCGCATCCTTCCTATTCAGTGTTCTTTGAGTTTGGGGAGCAAAAAGAAGTAGAAAAGAGTAAGAATAGATTTTAAATTGGAAACCAAAGAGTAAGGTTTCTCAGTGAAATCATCAAACCACAACCCTCACTACCCTCGTAGAATGAACAGGTGCATTGTTATGATGGGGGAAAAAATCCCTCAGCATAACTTCCTTGAGCCCCTTTTCACTAATGCCATTTTCAATAAAGCCTTCTTCCTAGGAAGTCCCTGTGATCACACTGGGTCCTTCCAGAAAATCTGTCAAGATTACCCTTTGGAATTTCACAGAACAGTTGCTATAACCCTTTAAACTGACCTTTCTGCTTTAAATTTAACAGGCCCAGGAGATCCCATGGGAAGTCACTATTCTGAGTAGACTTTTTTTGGGGAAGGCACCCTATTGAACCTAAAACAAGTGTTTTACTGACAGAACTTATCTGCAGCCATCACTGATCTAGGGGCCTATTTAAACAAGTCTTGTTCTTTTTATGGGAACTGGAATCCTAGTAGCAATACTGCTTTTACTTACCTTTATATAACATATAACTTAACTGGAAGTGGGGCTTCTATTTCTACACAAACCTAGATCTACATACTCGTTGTGAGTGGTCATCTTACCCTTTCCAAGTCCTGTCGTAGATGCATAAACCTTCTCATGCGGGTTTGAATGTTTTCTCCGATTGGCTTTGGTAGGCTCTCTTCTTCAATTGGAGGAAATAATGGCTTGTTGAAATTACTTTTCCGCTTCAGTATCCAGTAGTTGTAGATAAAGTTCATAGGCACTTTGGGTATGTCCAGCTCTGCAGCCACATCTTTCGCATGGACCAGGGTATAGAAATCCTCCTCCAGTTCCTGAAGCTTCAGTGCTCGCAAGTTGACCTTCTCAGTTGAGACTTGGCTCTCTGCAGCTTTGAATACGGCATAGTCAGGCTCTCCTAGTGCAGCCCGCTTTGTATAGCTGTGTCTGACGCAATATGACTTGAATCTTACTTCATCTCCTTCATCTAGGATGGTCCTCATCTCTAGGTTTTGCTCAAAGGCACAAGTGACGTGGAAGGCAGTGATGCAGCTTTTCACTGAGCACTGCGGAAAGAAAAGATGTGTCAAGGCAGAATAGGGAAAGGATGGAGAGGCCTACATTCCAGGGTTTAAATGGAAAGTTCTTAAGATGCAAAGAATAAAATGGGAACATTGGTCCTAAATTAACCATGACAGCTGCTTTACAAAAGTAGCCCAGGAAACCTGCTCTCACAGAAAACAGCAAAAACGAGATTAAAAAAAAAATCAAATTCCCTTTTAAGGTTTCAGCTCAGGCATTAAGGTCTTTCCAGAGAGCTTTCTCTTTGACCCTAATCTTGTGGTTCTTTTACTGTTGTACCCATATAACTTTATGCATGCTTCTATAATGGTCCCTTCACACTGTATACCTCTGTGGCATAACTATAAAAACCCCGGTCATAGGTTTTAAAGACAAGCTGCTATTCATCTTTACATCACCAAAGATGAACAAGCAGGTTCTAAAAAGTGACAGTTCTATTCTACAGTATGGCTACAATCTGAAATTAAGTTGATCACATTCTGCCTTTTATTCATAGATCTAACACACTTATTAAAGTACAAACACTTTGTACCATGCACTGAAGAGTCACAGAATGGCAGAGCAGGAAGAACCAGGCTCAAGAATGCTGCTCCTGTGATTCACAGTTAGCGTTAATGGCAATTTGCTGTGGTTATAATATTATAGTGCTCCTCCTGAATAATAGAAGGGGGTGCATTTAAATTTATGCAGAGCAGTGGGGGAAGCAATGGAGGAGGTTTCTGAAGGAACCAGAAATTTCCATGTTTAAAGCCAAGTCTCAATTATTTTGGAAACTTGCACCTGGAGGGCAGATAGTTCAATTACTTATGTGTTGGGTTTTTAATAATTGAACATAGAGAATCACTGTAAATCAATACAAACTTAAAGAATGGAACTCTGATAGGTGTTCTTATTATAGATTGAGAAATTCAGTACCTGAGAGACTATTGGCAGCCACCAAAACTTTAACGGGGCAGATTCCATTAAAACAATTTCATAGGATCCGGAATTCCATGGGCGAAAGGTACTTGTAACATTCCCTAAGATTATCTAACTCAGCCTTATATATATTCACTGAGTTAAAAAAATTGTGGTAAATAATTTACCACCGAAACCTTTGCCATTTTGATCAGTTAGTATATAATTCAGTGATATTAACCACATTTTCTTTTCTTTTACATTGAAACTAGAGGCAAATTTATTTAAACACTTTCCCCTCCAAATAGAATATTTACCCCTTTTTAGATAATTAAATCATTTTATTGGGGGCTTGTACAACTCTTATCACAATCCACACATACATCCATTGTGTCAAGCACTTTTGTACATTTGTTTCCCCTCATCATTCTCAAAATGTTTGCTTTCTACTTGAGCCCTTGGTATCAGCTCCTCATTTTCCCCTTCCCTCCCCGCTCCCCTGAGCCCTTGATAATTTATAAATTATTATTTTTTCATATCTTACTCCGTCTGAAGTTTCCCTTCACCCACTTCTCTGCTATCCCCCAGGGAGGCAGAAAGGGGGAACAGATAACCATATTGTCTACGCTATGTAACCATCACCATTATTTACTTTTAAGTTTTTCGTCACCTTGAACAGGATCCCTGTACCCTTTAAGTCATAACTACCCATCTTACCTCACTGATAAACTTTTGTCCCTATATATTTGCCTGTTCTAGGCATGTCACATAAATGGTATCACACAGTATTTATCCTCTTTTAACTCACTTAATTCAGCATATTGTTTTCAAGGTCCATCCACATCTAACATGATGGACTTCATTTCTCTTTATGGCTGAATAATTTTTCAGTCTGCTATTTTCACCAGATCCCTAGGTGCTTCCATTGATGATTCAAGTGTGGGAATTTAGGCTCTAGCAGATCAGTGTTGAAAGCTCTGCATTCAATCTCACCAATTCTGCCTTCTATCCGACTCCTTTGTCCTATCAGCACATTATCTGTTTCTGAAGTCTTCGAATTAATCTTTTGGATTTCTATTTTCTATATTTGTATGAATTCAAATTTTGAATTTATTTAGTCAGTTCTTTTAGTGTTTTCCTGAATTCTTCTAAAGTTTTGTCTTTGTTTTCCTTGATTTTGTAAGCATCTTTCTTATGCACTCCCTCTCAATCTGTTGATGGTACCTAAATATTACTCTTGGAAATTCCTTATCAGGTATTTCCAATGAGATTTCTTTTCTCGAGGTTTTCCGGTTCTGTATTTTGATCACTTGTCTGAGTCATTCTATATTCATGTGGACTGAAATTGTCTGCTGTCTCCAAGATATTGTGGAGGTGTTGTGTTTGTATTTAATTAGTGAGTGTATGTTGGTGTATGATTAGAAGTTCATCACCTATGTGGCAGAGGATGGGAGTGTGTGTGTGTGTGCTTGTGTACATGTTTATGTAGAGTAGTTGAGAGCAGGTTGATCCTGTGTTGGTGGTTGTCTATTGTTGATCAGGTGGTACAGGAGTAGGCGATGGCCTAAGCACCATGATGGGACTGCTGGAGGTGTGGGTGTGGTTGGGCAATGTGGGTACAGTTGATGGCTTTGGAAGTATGGGTCAAGAAAAAAAACACAGCAAACAAGTGAAAATAATACATAAATAAAGAAAAACAAGCAAATACTAACAAGAGAAAAGTAACTAAAAAGTTAAAAGAGAAAATAAAAATGAAAGAAGAAAAAAAGTAATAAACAAAACCAACCAAAATTCATTGTCATCAAGTCAATTCTGACTCATGACGCCATAGGACAGGACAGAACTGCCCCTGTGTGTTTCTGAGACTGTACATCGTTACAAGAGTAGAAAACCTCATTTTTCCCCTGCAACTGCTGGTTTCAAACAGCTGACCTTGTGGTTAACAGCCCAACTGGTAACCATTACACCATCAGGGCTCCCCCCCACAAAATTAGTGTGGGGGTGGGGGGAGAAAAGAGAGTAGTAAAGTAAAACTAAGAAAGGAAAAAAGAAAACTGAAGAGAAAAAAGAGAAACAGGGAAATCAGAGAAAAAGAAAAATAAGGGAAAGGAAAGAACAAAATTGGAGGAAATAGGGAGCTAGGGCACAGAAAGGAGAAAATTGGGGGTGGGCAGGGCACAAGGTATGGGTCAACATCCTCTGCTTGCCAAGGAGGTGTCTGGGGTTAGGGTTTCTAGTCCTGGAATGAATTCTTGCAGGCTCACAGGAAAGAGATCCTGTCTGCCCTGGGGTGGTTGGGAGGACTGCCCCATCTAGCAACGAATGTGCTACTGGTCTGAGACGGTAAAGCGCATATGCCTCCAGATGCTGGGTTCGTATGAACTTGGTGTCTGATTCATTCACAAGGCAATGCTTTTAATCTCAGATAGAATAAATTCTGTACAAGAAGGGCGAGGTGGGGGTTGACCATATGCCTCCAGATGCTGGGTTCGTATGAACTTGGTGTCTGATTCACAAGGCAATGCTTCTCATCTCAGATAGAACAGATGGTGTACAAGGAGGGCGAGGTGGGGGTTGACCACACATTTGGTCACCAGGAATGTATGGAGAGAAAGGGGAGGTTAGGCTGTGATCTGCTTGGTCAACAGGTCGAAACCACCAACAGTTCCTTGAGAGAAAGACTGGGCTTTCTATTCCTGTAAACAGTTAGTCTTAGTCTTGGAAACCCACAGGTGGTTGCTATGAGTCAGCACTGACTCTATGGTACTAAGTTTGGAGGTTAGTGATATTTATAGTTGGAGGTCTTTATGTATAGGTGCTAAAAGTGAAATGAACCAAATTTTGGTGCCAACCAATTACTTATTTACTTAAAACAA